ACACATTTTCTTGGAAATGAAGTCTCGAATTCACAACTGTGGTTTTCTTCACAGACGTAACCTAAATGAAATTTGGCAATAATTTTAAAAGGAAATTGAGTTAGTTCCAAACAACATTCATCTCAAATCTCTTAAAATCGATTGATACTTTTTTAATTACTTTCTCGTTAGTACAAACAGATCTATAAACTCTAGATACACCGCCAAGCTCACAAAATTCCCTTCTAACTATGCCGCACAAATTTCAGGGCTTCATTTACTTACAAGAATAAACCTCAAAACAATACCATTGAATACTAAAATTGAACCTCACACTCTAGGACCGTAGGAAACTTCTTTGGAGAGGTCACGGCTCTGTGGCCCTCAACACATTAAGGAAGGTGACATCTTTAAGGGGACACGTTCCGCGGTCACCACAGTGTACCTTAATGGGCCCTTCGAATTCCTTAGTAACTCACCTATTCTGTTACCGATGAAAACGTTATTTTAACAGGGACAACCGTCGGAGCACGTCCTTCTTCGTTTAACAACTGCCTACTAGTTATGTACTAGGAATTGGGCCCATTTACCATTTTGAGCAAAATGATGCCCCAAGGCCCCTCTCAGGGAAGCGCTTCGGACAGCTTCGACCGGATCTAAGAGAACTCTCTATTTGTCGGACTCTTCTTTGTAAACGTAGTTTACTCAATAAAAGTCATCGTCATCATCATCATCATCCACGTCATCATCTATTCCGGTGACCATTGTCCAGGGTTTATTTTTATTGTTGTTTCCCGTACCAAGATCATCGTCGTTTTCAAGTCCTTTCAGCGCCATGATATCTCCTTCGGCCAGATCTTCGTCTTCGTCAAAGTCATCTTCGTATAAGCTGCAAAATAAAAGGCAACTAGTTGAGAAAAGAAAAAAAGATGTTGCTGCTGGGATGAATTTTCCAATACAAAAATTTTCTTGTCGTTTCCTTCAAAATCAATTTTCCCAACTTTCCCCTAGCATTGATGCGGTTTTAAGAGTTGGTTGATTTTTGTTATTGTTTCATGTCTGTTTTTTGACTGACGGCAATCATGACTAAAACCAGACTAAGGTTATCATGCAACCGCGCCAAAAACTCACAAGAATCTACCGCGTAAGTCATGTGGCCTTACCCTTCTGTCTGTTCATTGGCTCCTTCTTCAGCTACCAGTAAGTCATATTCTTCTTGTGCATATCTCTCCCAGTCTGACCTTTCGTTAACATCGCCATCTTGCAAGTCCTACAAATTAAGTGTCATGTTAGTACTGAATAATTAATTTATTTTTTGATCGAATTAATGAACAAATGACTTACTTTAAAGCGTCCACGTTCTAATAAGTACCCACGCTCTTAGGAGTGTCCACGCTCTGGTGAGCGCTCACGCTCTTATAAGCTAACCCACGCTCTTATAATTACCCACACTCTAATAAGCACGCACGCTCTAATAAGCACGCACGCTCCTATAAGCACCCACGCTCTGATAAGCAGTCACGCTCTAATGTGCGTCCAAGCTCCACTGAGCGTCCACGCTCTAATGAGCGCCCACGCTCTTATAAGTACTCACGCTCTAACAAGCACCCACACACTAATGAGCGTCCACGCTCTAATAAGCACCCGCGCTCTGATGAGCATCCACGCTCTAATAAGCGCTCACGCTCTAATGGGCGCCTACGCTCTGAAACGCGCCTTCCCCCGAGCAAGCGCCCACCTGAAAGGCCATATTTCAAACCTGTGCCTTTCCCTCTCCCCCCCCCCCCCCCCCCTCGAATAAGCGCCCCTTCTTCCCTCACTTTCTTGAATAGTAGAGAAACACGCACAACCTGTTTCTATTGCTACTATTAATAACCTTTTAAGCTTTAACTACAAAGGAATCAATACAGGGGAATAATAAGCGCCCACCTCGACTAGGCGTATTCCTTTTAATACGCACCCCCTACCCCCTACCCCCTACCCCCTACTCCTTTTAGCCTTTTTTATAAAAGCGCCAGGGCGCTTATTCAAGGAAATACGGTGACTTAACAATGATATGGGATCGATATTTCTCAATTGCATGACCCTAACAGTAATATAGACATGAGCTTCTTACCCTCGCTGCAGCAAAAGGATCTCTCTGTTCGTATTCCAGATATTTATCCAAGTTGAAGAATGTGTTGAAGAAAATGTAAGCCAGTTTACAATTCTTTAGGTCACTCAGCGTTACGCATCCTGTAGAAATATACGATATGACCCTTTATTTTTTAAAAAGTGTAAAAACAGCTTCAACAAAAAGTTAAAGTTGGTGGTTCCTTAAATACAGAATAGTAATTTTGGAGTTGTTTTTAGTATTTTAAGACAGCGATCGTACCTGGAGTTTTAGGCTTCACCATGTCCAACATCTGAGAAAGAAGACAAGGAAAAAAACATTACAGACTGTAAATAAATAAACTTAATTGCAATAGTCATTGTCGCATTTCATCATCATCATCGTCATCATTATCACTTCTGCCACAGTCACATCCCCATAACAGCGACTGTCATCATCTCTATCAAGCATTCCCCAATCCAAGTTACATGTATTAACAGGCAATAAAGGAAGAATTTTCGCTCAGACGAAGGGCTAACGCTCGAAACGTCAGCTTTAAACTCTCTACAGTGAGAGGATGAGATTGGCCAATTGGCGTTATCAACTCGGTTGATAATACTTAATGACTCTGCTATACTTCCCCACCGACGCAGCACCACTGACAGTTTCTTTAGAAACTTACCCCGTTTATTCAAGTTACATTTACTCTGACATTTCCCCAGTTCTGGAAAAACTGCACTAGGGACCTAGACTTACGTCAAGTTCTAAGCCTCGTTCATGAGACGAAGACTTCACAAATAAATTCAATCATATATATATTGCAAACAAGGAAAGCCCATTGCCAAGTTGCGTTAATTTTTGATTACTTGTTCAGAATGGCTCATTCTTGAAGACCCACGGGCTGCGAGTCGATTTCAAGCCGGGGAAAAAAGGAGGGGGGGAGGGGAGAGAGCAGGAGTCACAGCCCCTGGGTCTCTGAGAACGGGATTTGCTCAAAACTCACTCAGTAGCTGCAAATGGATTCTAAACCAACTACATAGTTTATTTTTTATTAAAAGTCGACAAACCTGACATAGGCAGTCTTCAAACAGCATTGTCTCTATGCCCAGGACATCCATTTTGGAAATTTGTTCAGTATAGAAATACTCCAACTCATACATGGACAGTACACCATCTCCATCTAAATCCATACAGCGAAACCAGTACTCAATACTGTGGAAAGAAAAGGCATAAAATGATGAATATTCCAAAGCTCTTAATTAGCATATACCTGGCTTCTTTCTTTCCTGGCTTATCTTCTTCAAGAAGGAACTAACTGAAACCAAGCTTGAAGGGAAACTAAAATATTCCCTCCACATCATACGAACCTCCCGACCCCTCCGAGAAATGTTTTCACTTTCTTTTGCCACCAGTTTTCCTGTACCCTTTTGCAGATATGACTGGAACGAGTTACTGAAAATGTACGGCCAGCATAGCTTATTGTGGCTCACAAAGGCAAACTGAATTCTCAACTTTGTTTATGAATTCTCTACTCCGAGAAATGTTTTCACTTTCTTTTGCCACAAGTTTTCCTGCACCCTCTTGCAGACATGACTGGAAGGAGGTACTGGAAATGCAGGGCCAACATAGCTTACCGTGGTTCACAAAGGCATAGTGAATCCTAAACTTTGTTAATGACGAGACAAATTTTCACTAACCATCACAAAGCAAGGTGGTTCTACTTTGCAGCTTCCAACTATCTGTTTAATTACTGTAAACTGATAAAAAATAAAAGGCACATATATTCACCTTCTTGGATGTTTCTTGTCCTCTTCAGAAAGAAGAAACCAAACAAACTCTGGATAAGTCATCTTGCCCTCCATGTAAGTGGGACCTCTACATCAGCACAATACAAGGTGCACAAAAAATAAAACTGCTGTCAGTACGATAGTTGTGTTGAGAATTAATTACAACTAAGACTTCTTCTTTCAGTAGAACTTTCTCCACCAAACACCATCAATTCAACTTTCCCTCAACATAAATTTTTAAATCATTTCCCTTCATTTATTTTTTTTCTTTTCAGCTTATTAAAACTATGCAGTATCTTGAATTTTTCTTCATTCACCTTGGTGCATGTTAACTACAGTTGAAAAATTGCAAGGTTGTTGTTGTGTGTCATTGCAGATGGGCAGAGGAAACTTGCCAGTTTTCAGACCATTTTGTGCCAGCTACTTTGTGAATTACATTGAAGACAGAAAATAAATATTTTGAACTGATAATAACATTGGTGTCTGGCTAAAAAAAAGTTAATCATAAATGTCCCACAATGTTAGAAATTGTGTCTCAGAGAGTTTCAAATTTAATTTTTTTCAGGGAAGCATGCTGTTGCACTAAAAGCTAAATAGACTATGTTTTTCAGTAGGACTTCCTTCACAAAAATATGGTCCATTCAACTTTCACTAGAAATAAATTCATGTCAGCATCAGTGTTCAAACTGTGCTGCATCTTGAATTGATTCCTTATATGTACATCCACTAAAGTCAACCTACAGTAATATTTTTATTGCCCTAATTATTTTATCCCTACCGTGTGACACACCCAGAGAACAGTCTTTTCACTATTTTGGATGATAATGCTGAAGGCAAAATAGAAAATGACTATAAATGAGATTAAAATAAATGTTAAAATTTTCAACAACAGATAAAATCTTCCACGACAATGACTTGAATGTGAGTTGTCTACAACTACCTCATATCCAACAAGCACTCAGAGAAATGTTTTTATCCATCACAAAATATCAGAAGAAAACATCTCAAGCTTTGCACATTATCACTGACATTATCTGTGACCCAAGACATACATCTGAGTTCAGATATCATGGCTTGTTAATCAATCAAACTAAAAAATCACCAAACAACATACTAGTTCATTCTAAAAATATGGTAACCATCTATTACTTCCAGTGACATACATTGGACACTGTGGCACACTGGTGTTTTTACATAGGAATTTTTGGCAAGTCCTTTTTTTGGTGCATCAAAGACAATATGCAAACTAGTAAAATGAACCCTAAATTTTCATGCTTTATATCATCCACTGCAGGTAACCCTTTTGACAAATTAAAAAAAAATGTGGATTAGGTTCAGAGCCATCTCAAATCATCCAAATTTAAGGATGCTGCGAACCTCTTTCACAGACTTTTAAATTAATGAATCTTGACAAACTTGTGACAAATTTGTAGGAGAATCATCCCATTCAAGTGCGACAAGTAATAGTTATTCTCCTTGTTGCTTTATGCTCAGCAATTGGAATAAGCTCTGGCTAAAGGGAGCACTTGTCCTGAAAGCTTACTTAATTGTACGAAATCAATATAGCGATGAGTCAATCAATTTAAAGCTTTAACTTCCCCCCTCCCTCTGGCAATCCCCTGGGCATTTGAACTTTTTAGGATTGGTTTGGTTGAATTTCTGCCCACCCCCTCTTATAGACATAAGTTGCCTTCAAATACCTCATCCAATCAAAATTGTTTGTTGAATAAATCGTTGTGTGATTAATTACTGTTGTAGAAGTTAGCTAAGGTGTGTATAAGTTTTGGTGCTGCTGTTTGGTTTTTCACTTGACATGTAAGCATCATTCTACAATGTCAATCATTTTCTTCTAAGCCATTTGCTCATGAAAGCCAACTTTTAACCTTTAAACTCCTCTATATCTCAAATTGGAACATGTGTTTTCTGCTAGTTCCCACCCCAGCCAGGTAAAAGTTCAAATTCCCCATCTCCCTGGCATGGATGATGGTCAAATGCCCGTGGGTTGCCCAAGGGAGAGGTATGTTTAAGCTTAGAATTGATCACCACATTATAAGAGTGTCTCATACCATGGTTGTTATGTCTCATTAGGTCTTTCTCATCAATCAGCAGGTCATGGTCAGAATCCAGCTCCCAGAATTTACAATAAATTACATAAAAATGTTCATAAGAAAAGTAGTCCAAGATCTGAAAGATAACAATGAACAAATAATTAAATCAGTGATCAGTATATTCCGAGATTCTACTTCCAAGAAGTTGTCAATCATACTAGTTCCTACCTATCTACATAAATTAGGAGTATAAATATCTTACATGATTTTATTAGGAGTTCTTAACATATTCTCTGTAATAAACTTGTGGTTTTACTGGTAAGGAAAAATTTTTTTTTTGATACATGGGTTGAATGGCTGAGAACATAGTTAAAAGTGTTTTTTTTTGTTTTTGTTTGTTCTTTTTTTTTTTGTAGTCTTGTTTCTTCATAACAAGTGCAAATGGTGAAAGAAGTACAGAATCACAAAAAGTCAACCACAAATGGGCTACATGGTGAAACTTCGACCTCTGTTAGTAACAAAAATATTCAGGTGATGTCTCCTTCTGAAATGAAAAATTCTGTATCCAGAATTACTAGACTGTTTTTCAACTATTTCTATACAAAGTTAAGTCTCATGTCTGCTACTTTCCAAAATATTTTACAAAGTTTATGTACCTCATTAATGTCCTCTTCTTCTTCAAGTCGGGCTAAAACCTGGTGTAGGAAAAAATAGGCAATCAGATTTTCTCTGTTGTGTATCAAAGAAATGTTCATCTGTTTGTAACAAATGTCTTCTTCAACTTGACCATCTCAAACCCAAGACCTCATTACCAGTAGTAATTCTCCTTCCTGTCTGTCTCATAAATCTCATAATATTAGCCTGGAGAATTTGATATTGGATCAATCAATAATCTGTTGATTGGTATATTTCATTATTCTCCTCACTGGCCCGCTTGATATTGTATTGATAATGAAAGAAGAAATTCTGTCTTAGTCACCCACGTAAGTTAAAGGGTTAACACTGAAACTCATAGACATGCCAACCAAAACACAACATCTTGAGTGTAACTTACTTCTAAAAAATTGCTATTCCTCAGTTCTGGAACCGTAATGCGTCCTGTCCATGAACTATTTACACAATAAAATATTCTAGCTATAACCTGAAACGAACAAAAAAAATTAACAGTCAAATAAACATCATGCTTGTCCTCAGACTCATTGTTTCTGAGAAAATTCTAAACACAGAGGATTAGTAAATTGGTCACAACCAGCAGGTCACCAAAGCAACTGAAATTAACTGTTAGCAGCCAGTGACTGCCTTCAAGTCTTGCCAAAGGTTTTCTCGTAAACCAGCACTCACAAAATAAATTGTGCATTTTACACATAACTGGTCATTGTTTATGTGTAGGAATAATTAGACATTTTAAGCCAAAAGGCATCTTTAAAACTTGCTTTTTAATATTTTGCTATGTGATGAAAATTAAAAAGGAAAAACTTATTGGCTACTAAATTTTTCCACCTGGAAAATGAAACGAAATGATTCAGCAAAGGCCAGTTAGTACTGCCTAAAAACATAATTTAGGACCTGAGGAATTTGTTAGGAGTCAGAGGAAGGCGAATGTTTGGAATTTTTTCACTCTTATTCAGCACAGATGAAAATCTCATAGAGATGATCAACAAACAGTTAAATCACAATACTGTTAATGCTGTTTTATAGGCTGCACTTTCTTTCCAAGAATGTTTGTTACAAATCAGGAATACAACTTATCTGCCAAAAAATTTGGAAAACATACCACAAATTTGCCAGAAAATTACTATTCATCAAAAATATGTAAGCACATACATCATGCATACATCCTTTATTTAGTAAAGCAGGTTGAATAAATGGCAGATGTTACTGATGTAGACCTGCTATCTACTTTACACTATACTTTTCAGGCCAGACCACATCACAGTAATCTCATGAGTGGGTTCTTTAATGTCCCCTGCCTAACCAAATTATTAATAAATGCAGAAGAAGGGACCTACGGTTTATTCGTTCTTATCAGAGAAGACTAGAATGTCTATCCATTTCTCGATATTGTAGAAAAGTAGCACATTCTCCTAGGTTATATTTAGACCTTGAGTGTTGGTCTGGCCAGGGCTCAAACCCTCAACTTCCTGCACAACAGGTAATTTAGTGTTAACAACTGGGTTGAAAACGTAACTTAGCCACTGTAAAGGGTAAAAAAGCTGACTTTCGAGCGTCAGCCCTTTGTCAGAGCCATCGCTCTCTGATGAAGGGCTAACACTCGAAACGTCAGCTTTTTTACCCTTTACGGTGGCTAATTTACGTTTTCAACCCAGTTGTTAAAACTAAATTACCTGCTATACTCTCCCACCGACGCAGCACCACAGTTTCTTTAGAAACTTACCCCTTTATTCCTGCACAACAGTCTGGCCCTCTAACCAATTGAGCTAACTGGGAGGCAGTTTTGAGCTAGCCAGAAGCCTAATGTAGTTGCTAATAAAACTAACAACTGACCTTTACTCAAATGAACTAGGGTTAAAATTGATTTTTGCTTTTGCAAGTTTGGTGGCTTCTAAAAGAGCCTTAATATTGAATTTTTTTTTTTCCATAAGCATATAAGCTTATACTTCAAGCCGATCTAAACATACTTACAGTATGGATGTATCTGGAGTGAAAATCAGGAGCATCACGTAGAAACTCCAAACCAGGATGTGTTTCCACAATGTCCTAATGGTAAAATATAAAAAATATTCACTGCTGATTCCTAAATAAACTCTTTTATTTCTGGTTACTGAAATTTCACTTTGGGTCACAACTATATGAATATTGACCACCAAATGGTGACCTTTGAAAATGCTGAGTGCACAAGACAAGTCAAAGAGAGCAACTAAATGACAGGAACTTTTGCAGTGGATTGGTTGTGAAGGTTGTAAGTTTAGGTCTTTCAAGTTTCAAATTCACAGTATGTGGTTAAGTCACCTTCTTAGAAAGTCAACCACATAACAGGGTATAATTAAATTATTCTTTAAAAAAACAATCTGTTTTCATTATATTTAATTCAACAATACACCTCTTATCTAGCTGGCCAAAACTCAATAAGGACCTTGTTTTTTATCTGCTTGGATTTATGGCCCACAAGCAAAGCAAGGTTAATGAGATATTTGTCATATCTCTAGGTCCAAATAGAGAGGAAAGACTTCATTCTACACAAATGTTTGAGTTTAGCAGGCTGTATGGTGAAATACAGCCTGCTAATTGACCAATCATAGTGCACATACTAACTGAGAGATACTATAACATGCATGGAACAGTTATGCTGATGTGCATATTACCTGCAGGAGGGGAATAAAGTCTTCTGAAACAAGGTAATTTTGAGAGTTTTTAGCACTCAGAAGTCGCACAAATCTTGATGCATCATCATGGCAATTAGATGTTAAACTGTGAAAAAAAAATGGAATGGTTAAATGTTCATTCAAGTATTCATTCCAAATAGCTTTCACCCATTACATGCCACAAGGCCTCCAGTCAGGACTGTAAGAAGCAATTCCCAGTTTAATATAGAATCAATCTTGGGAAGAAACATGACTATGTTTGACCACAAGGTTTTTAATAATCATGGTTTCTTACTTCTTACCAAAGGTTTTGATCTAAATACAATGAATTTACAGTTTAAACAATATTTAGTAACAATTAACTGAATTTTAAGGGAATAGTCGTGTATATCTACCAAGCTGCGAAAGGACAAAGTAAATATTCCCCAAATTCACCAACACCGAGGTGAATAATAATTATATATAAACAAAATAGGTATATTTTTTTTGATATATCAAAAAATGGTCAGAAATTAAATTCTTGATGTGCAATTTTGTCTCACCAGCTTCTCAGAGGTGAATAATACTTGCTACTTGCGTCCAAAACTAACCAATCAGTACACGCCAAAAGCACTTTACACTTGTGTAGTATATTACTAAAGAAATACCATTAAAACTAAGTATTTTTCATAAGGTAAGTACCTTTTCCACATAGCATTAAACATGGGTAAAGTTACATAGCCATGTTTATGTCCTCCAGCTGCAAAAAACAGAGGTTCGCGCCAGTAAAGTGGTAAACCACAAGCCTGAAAGATATCAAATAACCATAACCAGAAAAGTTAATCTAAACCCTTCTCCTCCTAAGACCTTCAATTAAGGTCACAAAAATAAAGGAAATGATCACCAACCAAAGAAGCTTTTGACTGTCAAACAAATTTTCCTTGACATACGAGTGATTATCGGCAAAAAAATTGGACAACCACAAAGTCAGTCACAAATATGCATACAGACAGAATTGGATGACACTAAGTCCTGTTACCAATTAATCATAACCATTACAATTTCCAAAAAAAGAAAAAAAAACTTTTAGAACAAATATCTCCAATAGAGACAATGTCTTCAGTTAGAAATTTCTCCATTTTGGAAATTCCCCACTCTTACTTAGGACAATTGGGTGTTGCTATGGTTATTGTGTAATTATGTGATTGGTGGATTTAGCCAGCCAGGTTAAGTATGATTGGCTGCTTCAACTGTCTGATTACAGCCAACTGTGCATTCACAAATATGCAAAATAATTGCTGAAAAATAAAGCAGTTAGTGCACCAATCAAATTTGAGAAAATTGTGATGGCTATGATCAAACTGAAACAGCATGCAAATTATGTGCACTTTCCCTGAGAGAAATATAAATTTTCTCAAGGCAAATATACTCATTTTGGATATTTTATTTCCTTTTAAAATGTTGACCATTTAACAGAATGGAGCTTATTGACTTTCATGTCAAAACATTTTATAAAATAAGTTTAATCACCACCTTTTGTTTTTCATCAGAACATGATCTGCACATTTGTAACTAAAAATTTGTCTGGATTTTTTAGTTTTTCCTTACTTTTTGAGATAAGTATCTTGGTACAAAAACCTTGCTCAAAAGCACTACTTTGAAGTTGAAAAATTTATTGGAAAATGAGGAGGTGCTAAATTGCAAATCACTGACAGTTTTTCAAGTGAAACTTGTGCAGATCACCTTGAAATGAAAAACAAAATTTGTTAATTAAAAGCATCCTCAAATAAACTTATCTTGTAAATTGCCTCAGTATAAAAGATTAAACTCAATGGTCAAAATTATAGCTTCTGAAGTATTTCAACCACAATGTCAAAAATCTGTGTTAATTAAGCTTTGAGAAATAAAACTTTCATAAGGATACTGCAAATAATTTGCATGCTATTTCACTTGTAATAAAAATGCTAATTTCTCTACGTGGAACCACAAGTCACTCACATGAGACCTTAACCCATATCATGATATAATTTAGTGATATGATATGATGGCCATTTGCCAAATTCTAGCAAACCCTGTAAAACCATCATTGCAACAAGGGTAAACACACATAATCTCTAGTACTCAACAATAACGGCATAACATCTTACCTGAGCAAATAATCAAAAAAATTACGCACTTTTGAATAGGTTATCGACTACGAGAAGAAATATAAAAGGTAGAGGATTTATTTTTTCTCTGTATTGAAACAAAAAACATAGAAGTCAACAGAATTCATGTGGGAAAATGAATTTAACTGTCAAAAAGCGTCATTGTTTCGATGTAAAATGAGACATATAAATCCCTCTCAGTCCTTTATCAAACTTTCAAACAAGCCCTCAGATCAAGCGTAAGAAAGTTTCAAAAATGATAAAATTACATATTATTTTGCATCATTTCTACTCTTCACCTGTTTTAGGGTATCAATATTAAACAGAGTTGCGCTTAGAGCACACTGGAAAGTTCTGTAGTATGGAAATATGTCCCTTAACTTTCGGCTTTCGTTTCAAAAGAAGCCTCAAGATATAACTTTTTGAAGAGCTCTCCTACGCGCTTTTTCTGACTTCCATCATAACTAATTCGCGTCTGTCAAAACATATTCAAGATGCAAGAACATGTGAACTCCAGCTTGCAAGAAAAGTTGTCTAAAATATAAACAATGACCTAAAAATAGATCGTTCGATAACTCGAACTTTGCTCGAATAAGCGAGATAACAACCTTTTCCTATCTGAATGAAACTACGCGAAGGTAAGTTTTCTAGTAAGCTAGCGGTTCTTCAAAGTCATCGTTAGAAATAAAATGGTTTGAATTTAAGAAGAGTGTTCTTCTGTTCAGTTTAAAAAAAAATTTATCTTGACCTTTCCCATAATGAAAGACTGAAGCTTGATCGGCACACTGCGCGAGAACAACGAGAATGATGTAACATGCTTCGAAACCGAACGTTGCGAAACAATACAAGACCACGCGAGTTTTTCGACTACTTCAAAACACGCTGGGACATTGAACTAGACAAACAGGCCTGACAACATGGTAAATACTAAAATAAACACTTTCAGCGAGCTGCCTTTATTTTTCAAGTATCTACTTCCTCAAAGTGACATATTGGTTGTTGGACGAGTTCAAGAGATTGTCTCACAGTTTGCCGATCAGGCTATTCGCGTAGACAATAAAACTTTTAAGACAGACTTAAATGATTGTTTGAATAATCTTAAACCATTTCCGTCATTCATTAAATTTGTTTTCTTTGGCAAACGTTAGGGAAAGTGTCTCTTTCACTGTAGATTTGAAAAATCTGAATGAACGTGACCCTGATGCATAAAAACAACAACGCCTGACTGCGTTCACGCATAAGTTTCCGAGAAGGCGCGATTCATCGAAATCCAACTCTTCTTTGTATCTGGGAAGATTCTCAGATCATCAGTATGAAAGAAACACAACAGAAAGACCATTCTAAGTACAAATCGTTGAATTTTTCATCGTGCGTGCGCAAGTATCGTGTCTTTCTTAGAGGTCAGACTGGCTTCTTCGTTTCAACTGTAAACGCTGACGGACAACTTGTAAACAATAGTCACGCTACAAAAACTCGGTTTCGAGTTTCATCTTGAACTAAACTAAAGAAAGTAGAAATAAACACACAAGAAAGTTAAAATACCTTTGCCACTGGTCCAAACTCTTCTTTTGGAATACCGCTTTTGTACAGTTTGAATATCTGAGCGACCTTGGACAACGTTATTTCACATGATGTAGAATCTTCTGGCTTTCCAAGCGGGAAATGAAACTGCGGCAAGTGTGCAGCGCACCCTTGGAAGATTCTCACATTATTCAAAATTAAATGTTTATCCTTCATCGGATACTTCGTTCCTTCATTGTTCTCTAACCTAGGAGAACGCGGAGGCGATTTAGACCCTGGTCTTCGAAAAGATCGTTCTCGAGGGCTTCGCGGTGACCGCAATAATTGATTCGGAGAGCTGGTTGGCGGAGCCGGGGGCGAAATGGGCCTGGAAGCACCGCCTATTGCATTAGCCGAACCAGGACTTGACAATTGCCTTGGCGACAGAGGTCGGCCTTGGATTAACTTGTTCAAATCATTTCTAAGAACCCGTTGCGTTTCGGGCATAGACAGCCATCTTAGAAACAGTTCGTCGACTTTCACTTTCAGAATCGGGGAGAGATGCGCCATGTACGGGTGGCCAAAATTACTTCGATGAATGCAAACTGTCAACTCGACATTTATCAAAATAGATCACTTCCTTCCATCGTCGTATGAGTCCGCTGAGAAATTCGAAACAACGATTTTAAATACCTATTTCAAAGTCCAGTTATTGTCCACAAAGTAAACCTTGGCCACAAGAATGTGTAAATTTCCGTGTAGAAATGTCGTTAACCAAGTTGTAGATTACAAACGTCTTGAAATTACCACAAACAATTTAAAATCACACCTATGAAGATTCAGCTTGCCTGAGACCAGCTTTGTCTTGAAATTATAGCATAGTACTCAGAGAAGAAGGTAACAGTGCTCGTTTGTCGGACTTTACGCCATATTTTCCACATTTCTAAGCAGGAAAAAATCGAAAAATCGAATAAGCGCGGTTGATAATGAACAAACAGAATATTGATCAGCGGTCGTTGGAATAAATCAACGTAGTTATTACCAGTCTCTCTCGCAAACGCCTCTGTGCTGTGCTTTCTTTTTGCCATTCACCACCCCCGCACCCACCCCCTCTTCCATAGACAAACCAGCCCCTCCACTCAAAGCTTTTTTCCTAAACAAAAATATAAGGTTGGTTTTTTGTTCAATCTATTTTTTTCTCCTTTCGCCTTTTCTCTTTCATTGAAGCCCACTGCTCCTTTTGCTTAAAGAAAAAGAAAAAAGAAAGGAAAGATTTTCCTCCATTCTTGGGCTAGTAGGCATAGGTAAGTTGCTGGCCGAAAGTTAATGAGGACACAGAGAGAGACTACACAGTGCAAGGGAAACAAAATGCAAGAATCATCATTCAATTTTCCCTTTTTACTTTTCTAAAATGGCAAACTTAGCAGCATGGGTGAAAAGAAGTTTGATTATATATTTGAAATATTAGAGGGGCTTTGCCGACCTGGATATTTCAAACGTCATGACAACACTCTAGCTGATAACTGAACAGATCTATTGTTTTATATAAATGTTTTTCTTTTTGTGGTGCTTCAAGAACTCAAACTTAAAGCCATCACCTTCAAAGGAAATGTTACAGTCATTTATTATCAGGAAACTCAAACTCCATGGGCTGTTTAATTACACAAGGTCTAACCCAACTGTAGTTTTAGCAAGCAGTTGGCTTGTATTCTTAGCAAGGTTGTTTTCATTGGATGTGTCCTTCCACTGATATCTTTTGACACAGTTGACACAGTTCACAAAAAAAAAAAAATGTTCAGATTAAAGATTCAGCCTAAAATCAAGATAGTTTAGGACACCCTTTCCTTACACAATGGCTAACCTTTGTTATCATAAGCAGAACCAAGTGTCTCAACCCAATTTCCATTTCCCATGAAACACCTATTAGAAGAGTCTAAATATGCTTCCAAGCTGCAAAAAGCAAAATCTGGGGACAATTTCCTTTTTGAAGAAATGTTGACAAAACACTAAATCTAAAATACTAAAAATTTCTCCAGTAGCAATCTTTATTGCTCTAACTGAGGTCAGCTCTAACAATTTCTTAACCTTTGCCATATACGGTATCTAAAAACTATTAAATAACTACAAGGATTCCTTCCAATTTACTGAAGTCTGTTATGCAAGTCAAAAAAATCCATGTTCCCTGGCCTTGAAAAACTCTAGGGGTAAGGTGCACGAAGTTTACCTCTTTCCTGCACCTCAATTCCCAGAGTTTCGCATGGCATGCAAACATCAATTTTTTACAAATTTTTCGCTGATTTTTTTGGACTTGCCCGCCAAACTTCACTGAAAAGGAAGGACTACTCATTGTCGAACTATTAACCCTTCAACTCCCGAGATCTGATTGTTAATTCTCTCCTCTAGCTGCCAAACATTTCCTTGTAAATGGGTTATGAGAATTTGGTGTGCAATCAAGATAAAAATCCTGTACCTGATAAGTTTAAATAATCTCACTACTTGTTTGCTGGATAATGTGTGGATACTATAAGGAGAACTTACATGTTAATCACCTCTGGAAGTTAAAGGGTTGAAGAACATAACATCATAACAGTATGATTGCAGACTGACACTTAACCACAAAAAGCTACATTATTCAACACAAAGGGAAGTGATTCATTTTTAAACTGCACAAACGAGCCTTGCAAAAAGAGCTTGCTTATGAGTTCTGTCATATTGACACTGATATATAGTACAGGTTGGTTAAAGTAAATAACAAAACATTTGAATGATAATAAATAAATATCTATAGATTTACATCTATTTAAAATGGTAATCTGTTCCATATTTGTAAGAAGTCACCACTACACAGAAATAACTTAGAAATTTAGAAACACTATTTAGCTAGAAAGCATGTATTTATTCCAGCCTTGCAACTCCACAAGAATGATTCCATATTCTCCTCCGTATCTGCTATAAATTTTCTAATACAGCAGTGGGGAGAATCTGAAGTTACATCAGAATAACACCATTCAGCTTTGTAATATAATGAAACTACAGTAAGAGGTTACATGGCAATAGGCTCTAAGAGTCAAAACACTTTAACAAAATGGTTGCTGAAATCCAAAACCAACCCAAGAGAAGGCATCCTTCAGGCAAATAGGAAAATAAGAATTTGAGTCAATGCTGATCGTTTATCTTTTCAGATGTTTGTTTAACAGAGGTTTAACATAGCTTTGTAATGTTCTTTAAAATTAAAATCATATTTTCTCTGAGGTTACTTCCCACCTTCGGATGCCTAAGTCAAAAATTACATTTTCTTAACATTAGGTTAACCCTTTAACTCCCATGAGTGACCAAGTCAGAATTTCTCCTTACAATATCAATACAATATCAAGCAAACAAGTGATGAGAATTAAGAAAAATCTTTTAAATTAGGGGGTTATTACTTGATCCAATACCAAATTCTCCAAGCTAACATCACATGAACTATATAGCAGACAGTAAGGAGAATTACTAATGAGATCTTGGGAGTTAAAGGGTTAAAACAAACCAATTAAAATCTGCATAATTCCATTAGAAGTGGTTTTGATTTCAGCTTCCATTAAAGGTCCTAAAACTAACTTGGTTTAAAGACATTTAACATATCTAGACTAAGACTGTAATGATAAAAGTTTAACTTGGTGTTTTGGTTCAATTTCTTATCCTCATTAAATGCATGATAATCCTTCTCTAAATCCTATAATGATCAATCATTCTACAGAAGTCAGCATGCTCTTTTCATCTACACACTTCAATGGATATTTTCCATCTGGCTGCATTTTGTTGTTATTATTGTTGTTGTTAAAGGGATTACCACAATTTAAACAAGGGCAGAGTTCACATGATCCTTCATCACTGAAGCAAGGGCAGCGTGTGGTGACACACCTGGGGCTTTGAAGCTTGGATGACATACCACAAGAACACCTCTTCACCTTCCCTTTGTTCTTTCTGTGTTTTCCAGGAGGAGTCACCACAACAGTTTGTTTTTGTTCAATCTTAGGCTTTGGTTCAGGATCAACATTATCAACAACTTGAATCTCTTCACTTTCCTCTTCTTCCATAATAACTTTTTGTGGACAATCTCCAGTTTTAAAATCCAGAGAAGCAAAATCTGTAGAAATATTTTTCTCACTCCCTAAATTATAAAAAGAATTTGTTGCATTTGCACTGAGCCTGACAGTTTTTTTCTTTTTCCCATAATTGTAATAACTTCCTTTGAAAGGTTTTCTCTTTCTTTTCTTTTCTTTCTGACTGTCACTTCCTGTCGGAGAAGACAACAACTTAGTGACTCGTTTTGGAGGGAGCAGTTCTATTTCCGGCGGAAGTTTGACTGGTGTGACACGTGACTCGGTCGCCATGTTCAAATTCCCGCTCGTAGAAGGGGAAATTTTGGAATTTGAATCTGTGGTGTTTGCGGGTACCGGTGCTTGTTGCTGTTGATTCTGAAAGTGTGCGAGTGAAATCGGACTTGTCACCGCCTCTTTAATGATCGCTAAAGTCTTGTTATACTCGCCATTTTGCGTGGCAAGTAATTGTCCACCAACCGCCTTTTGAGCGACGTATTCGCAAAGCTTTTGATAACAAGCTAAGAGAATTCTTGCCTGTTTATCTTCCGTTAGCTTTTCTAAGTTTGTACACCACCGACATCCAGGTATCAAAGCCCGTTTTTTCCGTAGACATCCTTTGCAGACATGGTGCTCACAGCTGTGAGATCCGTACGGGTCGATCAATAAACCGCGGCACACTCGACATGAAAGGGCTTGGCGAAGCTTCGGTAGCAAATGGAACATCTGATCCCAAACAGCTTGGTTGTCATTTTCAAGTGACAACATGCATTTGCACGCTTCAACATGTAGCGTTGTGGCGTTCATTCCGCACTTTTGAACGGAGCCCGTAACCGTTCGAACGATCTTTCCACTCAAACTGTTAGTACAATGATTCCCAATTAACTCGTTCAATTGTATTTTTAATTTTTAGAATTGAGCCGCAGTTTTATTGTTCAGTGGTATCTGCCAGATTTCAGCATGCCCCCTCCCTGATCAGCCGCACGTGCGTCGATTTTAGTACCAGAGGGGTGCCTCAGAATGTATTAATTTTTGAATTTATGATTATTTTCTTTAAAAAATGAGAAAAATTGACTAGTCTAGTCGAAGAAATTTGACTTCAGTTATTGAATATATTTAAAAAAGACAACAGCTTTCGAAACTGGAGAGCCTAAAGTGGAGCTGAATTTTTTTCTTACATATAGCAAGCATTCTCACCCTACCCTAGTCAGTTGAGAACAACACATCGGGCATTCTGTCGTGAAACATGGCTATGTTCACGGCCTCAAGGGCTGGTGGATTGCTGAAATCTTTTTTCCCCGTGTCTGCGGGGTTTATCAGCAAAACGTCAGGTACAAGTGGAGCCCATTTTAAGAAAAATGCTGTTTTTATTCGAGCTTGTTCTGGAAGCGTTCTACAGAGGATCGAAGAGAAAAAGGAAGAGGCCATTGTTGGTGGGGGACAGAAGAGGATTGACGCTCAACATCGTAAAGTAAGCTACTTTCTCTTAGTCTGTCTGCTGATTTTGGTTTTGATAAGATTGAGTTCTGAAAAAGTGGATTTTTTTGATGAATTAAAGAGGGAACGCTACTCTTTCATAAATTTTCCTTCTAGCTAGCCACCCTCCCCTCCCACCTCCCCAAAGTACACATTTCTTGAATTTGGTGTCTTTTCTGGCGAAATAGCGGGTGAATCTCGTCTTTGTTCTTGCCTTTTAATTGATGTGTCATTCATAAACTGATCGTTCTACCTCTTCTGGTTAAATTCTCCCAACCATATATGTTGGAGGATAACAGTCCTGTTAGGAGAAAGTTGAGGCCCATAAAAAGTCATTAAAGAGACTGAGACAAACTTTCTCAACTAAATAAGCTTGTTAACTTAAGAGTTATATCTCTTCAAAAATAATTTTCACGATGTTTCACTAATTTGTAAGGACAAAGCAGGGTGTTCAATCCTGCACTGAAGATAGTAATATGTCTTTCTAAGACAGTCTCACGGAGCCAATAGAAATACAGGATTGCCTCCACCTCACTTAGTCACAGAGCCAGCCATAGTGTTAAGTGGCTCTCCTGTTTGTTGATATATGAGATGAAGGATCACTGAAGCTTTATCACAGATATCTATTCCTGAGACATGTCCTGCCCCTTATAAAAAGGTACTTCTTTTCCTGTATCCTGGGAGAGGTTAGTATAGGTTTAACCCTCTAACTTCCGAGATCTGATTGTTAATTCTCCCCTCTAACTGCTACATATATCCTTGTAAATAAGTTACAAGAATTTGGTGTTAGATCTAGATGAAAACTTCTACCTGATAAGTTTGAGTATTCTCATTACCTGTTTACTGGAAAATGTATGGATATTTTAGGGAGAAGTGAAATGTTAATCACTTCTGGGAGTTAAAGGGTTAATCAGAGAACTTTGCCTTTTTTCTAGGGAAAACTAACTGCAAGAGAAAGAGTCAAGCTGTTGTGTGACCCAGAATCATTTGTTGAATATGACATGTTTATGGAACACAACTGCACTGAATTTGGAATGGAAAATCAGAAGGTCAGTTTTCAGTTGCCTTTTTGTGAGATATATTTGACTGTCCATGATTTAACCCAAGGGAAATTGGGAAAGGTTCTAGTTATTGTAAGCCAAAGTTATCCATCAAAGTTCACCTTTTAATTTCCAAGATCTGATTATTAATTCTTCCCTCTTCAGTTATTGTTGCTACACATTTGCTAGTAAACCAGAATCTTTTCCTACTTTTTAGCATTAATGTTGGTCAGGTAGGACAGGAACGGAGAGAAAATCAGTGTTTTCATTGCATAACTTTAATTAATGTGGATATTTACATGTATTTTTAGTTTACTGGTGACAGTGTAGTTACAGGACAAGGAACAATTAATGGACGCGTTTGCTTTGTCTTTAGTCAGGTAACAATTTTTTCAGGTCATAATTCACTTTCAGAATTTTTTGTGATTAAAAAAACATTGCCTTAGATATGCCAGACAAGAAGGAAGGGATTGAGAATAATATTTGTTATATTTGAATGTGTAGTTTTTCAGAATACACAGTTCATTATTGGCAAAAAGTTTCTGAATTTTGTTTAAACTTGAGTTATGTACTTTTTTCTTCCCTTTTAAAATTCTATGCTTGATCAAGACAGAATTTCTCCTTACAAAATTAAAATTCAATACCTGGCTGACAAGTGATGAAAGTGAAGAGGAAAATTAATTAGAGGATTATCTGATGATCCAACACCAAATTCTCCAAACTAATATCATATGAATTGTATGACAGATAGCAAGGAGAATTACTTATAAAATCTTGGGATTGAAAAGGTAAAATTGCATAGATATGATTTTAAATTATGGTTTTGTCTAATATGGTGTAGTTGGGTTTCAGGATTTCACTGTATTTGGTGGTAGCTTGTCAAGTGCTCATGCCAAAAAAATCTGCAAGGTAGGACATGACATCATTTGACTTGAAATGAACC